GTTCTGACCATCTACAATTTTCCCCCTTCTCTGTCCCCACAGTCATGCCTGGCATCTCAGTCCCAGACCCCCTCGCCTCCATCACCCCATCCCCTCTTCAGATGCCCGCTGCTCTCACCTGGGCCCCGCCGAGAAGGGAATAAAAGCCAGAGGTGACCTCCCCTTGATGTTTTCCGGGTCGAAGCGAAAGGGGTCATAAACCTGGGAGCAAAGCCAAGACAGGGCTAATGGGTGGAATCTCCCAGGACATCTGACCCTGGAGAGGCAGGTATGTGTAGAATGAGGGGAGATGGTGTCTGATTTGCCAAGCCTGGGCCCTGTGCCTTCCCCTGGGTCCCACTAGGGGAGTGGACAAGGATGAGGGAGGTGGAGGGTGGAGGAGGCAGCACCTCAGGGTCTGGCCACACGGTTGGGTTGTGGTGGATCTCGAAAATACTGATGAGGCAGATAACACCTGTAGGAGAGGAGGGGGCAGTCAGGACTAGGTTCTCCCCGCCTGATTGGCCCCTCCTTCTGAGCAAGAACCTCCTCTCCTACTCATTGTGAGCACCTTTGGGGATGACCCGACCATCTGGGAGAACGATGTCCTGGGTACAGCGGCGAGAGACGGTCGGGGCTGGAGGATGCAACCGTAGGCTCTCCTTGATGCACATGGTCAGGAAAGGCAACTGGGTCAGGTCGTCCCTAAGGAACACCCATAACAATTAGCCAGGAAGCAGAAACAGAGACCCCACCCCAGCCTTCTCGATGCCCTATAAGATCCTCTCTCCCCATAACAAAAATCACAGATGGATCTAATATCTCCAAACTCATTAAGTCACATACTTTATATATGTACAAGTTTTTTGTTGTTGTTGTTTTTCACCATACCTCAATAAAATGATTTTTAAAAAGAAACAAAAGTGATATCATAGAAGTACCAGACAAAATTTTGCCATATATTTTAGAAGTTTTTCTGAGGAAAACACGACACTCAAATGCCAACCATAAAAGCGTTTACCAATTTATATAAAAAGAAAATATTCCTTATGGCAAGAAAGACAAATCAAGAGCAAATGACCAACAAACAAAAGAAACAGATTCAATGTTTATTCTTATTTTATATGGCACTAGAGATACTAGCTAATGCAATTAGACAGTGGGTAGAAAATGGAGGGTAACGCCATTTAAAATGTGGAGGTAAATGTGTTATTTTTGGCAGATAGAAATTTTATACTTAGAAAATAAGAGAATTCACTGGAGAACTTTTATGAACATTGAAGATAAGATCCAGTAAGAGGGCTGGATTCTTTTTCTTTAACCCCCTTTCTTTGTGTACTGATTTAAATTCTGAAGAGCTGATACAGTTAAATAGTTCAAAGTTGGAAAACTATGAAACACCACCCCTAATGCCTAACAGCACTCATTTCCCCTCCTCACAGTCTGCCTGGTGATTATTTTTTATGTATCCTTCCAGAGGTACTTTTTGCATTAAAAAAATTATATAGTGTAAACACTGCATCTTTACTTATCACCCCTTCAACACTCTCCCTTCCCATCCTGAGGCAAACGCTAATGTACCCACTGTTTCTATAGGTTTGTCTGTTCTAAATATTGCTAAATGTAAATACAATCATATAATATATTTTAAAAATTATATGGTAGCATACTATATACTATACACACTGCTCTATCTTTTTTATGTAATAGTATATCAAACAATTCTTGTACATCTCCTGGGACTTGTGTCAAAAATAGGGCCTTCCTGGAACCATAAAATAATATACTATGGTCACCTCCAGAGCCTTTAACACTCCTTCATTTTTTATTCTAAAAATGTGATTCATGTGGGTATTATTTTCTTGTAAGATATGAGAAGCAGGTTGGATGAACTTTATTACATGTAGCTCCCCAGTTGTTCCAAGAGCTTTTATTAAATGGTCTTTATTTTTCCTATTTATATAAGATTCTATATTTAGCACTTACTATGTTCACTGGGCAAGAAATGTATATTCATAAATAACTATTTCCCAAAACTCATGTTTGAAGGAGCAAAGATCTCAAAGATATATTTTTAATATGCAGACCTTAACTCTTAATGGGGGAGGGGAGTGAGAGAGAGACCACATATAAATGTGGGTATAAGGATAAATGTCCTTCTAAAAGGACACACAGGAAATTACTGCATTGATGCGAGTTACTCTTAGAGAATGGATTAAGAAGGGAATTCATTTTTATTATAAATCTTTCAATACTTTTTTTTTCAAGCGCATAATTTTGTTTAAAGTCTTGGTTTATAAAGTAAAAATGTTTCTCCATGTCACGGGACTGCTGTGATGAGCAAAGGCTTGGAGTGGAGGACACTACCTTCAAAATACCTGTCCAGTCCAAGACCTCCTCACCATCCTCCAGCCCCTGGACTGGCTCAGGCCTCAGAATCTCCTCCCTGGGCCGCCATTTCGTAGCTTGTCCTCTCCGGCATGTCCTCCCCTCTAGTGCTACAAAGATCTCTCCAATAGACAGATCTGACCTGTCCTACTCAAACACTGCCCTAGGTTCCACATTGGCCTTGGGTTAAATTTGAAGCCACTGACATTGTTTTCAGAGTCTTCCACAACCAGCCGCTGCTGCCATCTATCTCCCAGCCTCATCATCTCACCAAGTCAGTCTCTCCCTTGTTTTCTCCCATCCTTCCTACTTCCTCCCTCCCTCCCTCCCTCTCTCCCTCTATCTCTATCCCTTCCTCTCCCCTTCTCTCTCTCACCCCCATTTCTCTGTAACCTCCACTCCTCTTCTGTCTCTCTCTTGCCTTCCTCTACCTCTTCATTTTTGCCCAGCTGTTTTTTTCACCTAACTGCATCTCAACTGCACCAAAATATCTACTGATTATTTTTCAGGGTCCCACCTGAGGCACTTTTGTCCACGCTCTATGTCACCTCTATTACTCTCAACCCTATCCTTGCCCTTGTGGACTGGGAGTGTCTGGACCTTGGACTATTCCTCCACCAGGCTGGGAGCTCCTAGAAGGCAAAGGCTGGGTCTGCATCCTTTCTGAGTCTCCAGGAAACACAACGGAAATGAGAAGAATTGGAGATGGCATAGAATTGGGGATGAGGAAGCAATGTGGCAGTGTTTGCTGAATGGGAACTGGATGGATGAAGCTGCAGGTGTTCCTGGGCTCGAGCTGAATGCCTTTAATCCTCAGCTGTTCCCTGTGAATCCTGGACTAAATAACATGAGGAATTAGGGGGCAGGAGATGAGAAAACACTTAGGGAGTGAAGATATTTAAAAACGTGTGATTTCAGAAAGCAAAGTAAGGCAGTGGAAGGAAGTTGCTTTTCTGAATATGGGCTACGTGGCATCATCTGCCTTCACACATTATCACTAATTCTCTCAGAAGTCCAGGTCTTCCTGTCTGAAACCCTGCAAACATTCCCCTGCTATACATGCTGGGTACCAGACCCTGCCTCTGGGCTCTGCTCCTATTCCCACTAAGCAATAATGACAGAATCAACAGAGATTTTCCCTCTTCCCCAGTCGGGAGCAGAGCCCATGAGACTGCTCAGAAAAAGGCCATGAGGACTTCCACTCACCATTCAATCTCTTTAGGCTCACGATCCTTCAGGAGTTCTTGCACCTCCTGCCGGCAGCGCTCCTGGTATTCAGGGTGCTTTGCAAGGTTGTAGAGGACCCAGGAGAGGCCACTGGCTGTGGTGTCATGGCCTGAGGAGTAGCCAGACAGGCTTGGGTCTCTCGACTAATTCAGCACCAGAGGATGGACAGCAGCCTTACATTAAGGCCCACGGGGAGTATGGGGAGGGATTGGGTGGTCCAGGGTCCACCCACCAAATCCCTGAGATGGAGAGACCCCTGCCCCTTCTGTAGTCCCACACTGGGACCCTCACCCGCAAACATGAAGGTGTCAGCTTCAGCTCGGATATCTTCGTCTGACAACCCCTTCCCATCTTCATCCTGGAGAGAAAGCAAAATCCCCAGAATCACACTAGCTCTGAGGGTCCCTGCATCTCAACTGAGCCATTCTCTGAAGCACCAACAACCACCCAGAAACCCAAGTCCACCCTGAACTCCTAGACGTCCCTTGCTCACTATCACTAGAGGCGCCACCCCCAGGCCTCTTCCTTGGCCTTCCTGCCTCCTGAATTGTCCCTAGTGAACAAGATCAATGATCCATAAATATGTTCGTATTTCTACAGGATGAGGGATTTCTGAGGAAAAACGTTACTCGCCACCTGGATTACAGGATGATTGAATAGTAACTTGTCTTAAAGGCTAGAGATTGAACATTGCCCCAAAGCCACATGCTAAGATAGTAAATCCAGAGATTCCCTATCTGTCCTGGAGATACGGAATGGGTTATAAACCTGCAGAACCTATAAACTTTGCCTTCTCACTGAAGAGGATTTGTTTAAATCCTAGAACCATGACTCTCTCTCTCTCTCTCTCTTTCTCTGTTTCATCTAACACTTTTTGTCCTTCTCCTTTCCCTCCACAGGAAAGAAGGGGCAGATGTATTGCTGTCCTACATAAGTTCTACAATTCAAATTTGGAGGTACTTCTCCTGTGGTGCAAGCATGTCTGCAGGTACAGGTGAAAGCACCATGGAGCCCTCAGAGCAGTCTGGGAATGGGGAACGGGAGCCACCATTCTACTCCGGCTACTGTTACTGCTGTGAGTAATAAATAGGCTGCTCTGAGCCAGGGTTCTATATCTACACACACACACACACACACACAAACACACACACACACAGAGAATCTACCACCATGGTAGACTAATTTAAAAACATGGATGTAGAGCAAAATCTTAGGCCGTTTGCTGCTTCAGCCATAGTAATCCCCTGCAGGCTGCATTCCACACAGTCATCTCTAAACCTTATCCCTAACCCATGCCTCTCTTCCTGAAGTACCTTCCATGGCTCCCCAGTACCCTCTGCATCAAGTCCAAGCACTTTGAACAAACCAAGGTCCATTCTACTTCTTGAACTCAGAAACCAGTGCAGCCTACCTTGGTCAGCAGGAGCACATCAATGAAGTCCAAAGTCTTGGTTTTAGCCTTCGCCTTGAGGAAGTCATCAGCACCCTGATCGGGGAGGGTGCGGCGCCGCTCCCGGATGACTGCATCTGTGAAGTCGTGTACCTGGCGGCAGGCCCTGCGGAAGCGCTGCCCATTGGGGGTGAGGTAGTACACGAAGTCCCTGTACTGGAAGAGCTGCTGGTTCCGTTTTTCCACAAGGGCACTGAGCTCCAGGATAGCAGTAATATATTCACTGGGCTTCCTGCAGCATGAGAGCACAAAGGGAGGCAACAACTTAAAACACCTGAAGCCAGGAAGCTGGGAGCTACCTCCATCAGGACACTGAGTCTCCAAGAACAGATGGTGCACAGATAGAGTGGGGAGGAGCCAGCAGATGTGACTCTCCGGACTCTCGTCTCCCTACATCCCATCTCTGTGAGCTGCCTGCATGCCCCAGGCACCCAGAGCACAGCTTAGATTCCACGCTTGTCTCCTCTCTCTCTTACCCACCATCTGTGCCTCCAGAAGTGTCCACACAGCTCAGACCTTATCCTCTTCCAACTGGCCAATGGGCCTAGCCCCTCTCCTAGTCTCCTTACATCCATTGTCAATACCATCCAGTGTCTATATGACAGTTGGCTATCTGTCAAGTCAGATGTCCAACCTCACCTTTGACCGCAACCCTCATCTGCACAAACACCTTTCATGGCTCCCTGGAAACCTCAGGATAAAGTTCATGTCCTCTTTGTCTGGCACTCCTCAAACCCCACATCCAAGGTGTCTCCTCACTGTTCCACACACCTTGCTCGCCCTAGCCTCCTGGCCCTTATCAAACATTTCTACCTACCTGAAAAGATCGCTCTCTTTCCTCTCCTTGTCTTTCTATGTTCAGCTCTGACCCACCTCTTCCAGGAAGGTCTTTCTGATCATCCTGGTCAGTCCTCCCTCCCTAATCTACTCCCTTGGGTCAATGGCTCATGTTCCCAGGCCCTGGGTCAAGACTCACTCTTGGCAATTGCTGTTGAAGCTGAAGACGCATTTCTGCAGACTGTCCAGGGTCATGAGGCTGATGTGTTCAAACATGTCCAGACGGGTGTGGCCCTCAGTGACCAGGCACTGCCACTTGGCCTGGACAGAGAACAGGACAGAGCTGGGGCTGGGAACTACCTCCTTTGAGCCTCTCCTCAACACCAACCACCAAGATGGACACCCAAGACCCTGCCTCCTGGTCTCGGGCACCTATCCCCAGGGAAGTCCAGGCTTGGGTGGGAGTCAAGGCTGTTATCATCAGGACATCAAGTCTCCATGCCTGGGAGTCAGGAGATCTGGGTTTAATTCTGGCTCTGCCTCCTACACTTTGTGAACCCTTGGTCAACTTATTGCACGAAGTAAGTATGCAACAAATGTTAGCTTTCATCACCATCACTGTTATAAATTGATTAGGAAATTTATGTCCTCATAAATAAATAAACTGTCCTTTGTCCCTAACCCCACAAGTATCATGTCTTCAGTAGAATTCACAAAAGAGTAACAAGCTCTCTTGTTACTTCACTTCACAGGCACTTCACAAAATCCTTCACAAAATTCTTACCTCCAATTCTTCACTTCCCTATGTATATATCCAAACCCTTCACAATGTGATTTTTTCAGCAACTTAAACTAGGGGCTGGAGTCTATTTCACCACCCTTTGTTTCTGAGCTGGCCTGGGACTTGCTTTGGCCAGTAGACTGTGGTGACAGTGATGGGGTGATTATCCCAATGCTAGACCTCAAGGAGCATTGCAGCTTTCTCTCAGCCTCTTGGAAACCTGCCTCTGCCGTGTGAGCAAGACTGAGATGCCTTCTAAAGGGAGACAATCACATGAAAGGAGGTCCAGTTGCCCCAGGTGAGGCCATCCCAGATCAGCCTGCAGCCAGCCAAGCCCCAAACACATAAGAGGACTCACCTCAGATCAGCTAAGCTTCCTCTCTGACCCACAGCTGATCACAGATACATGAGTGACCCCTCCTACATCCAGAAGAACTAGTCACCTGACTCACAGACTTCTTGTCAATACTAATTCCTTGTTGTTTTGAAATGACCTGTTACTCCGGAATAACTGATACACAATATCCACAATCTTCATGATCCCTGTCTCAAGACTGAAAGGCTTCTGGGACGGAAACATAGAAATTAACACTGAGCACCTGTGTGCCAGGGTCATGACTCCATTACATCATCTTAACCATCCTGCAAGGCGGGAATCACATTATCCATTTACAACCAAGGAAACCGAGGCTCAGAAAGGAAGCTAAATGCCTTCAAAGCCACCAAGAAGGGCCAGAATTCCTGCATTGATGTCTCAGTCTTCATCGTCCCCGAATCTCCAGCCAGGACTGTGTGTTGAAAAGACTCACGTGCATGACCTTCGCGCTGTCGTTGAAAATCTTCACATAGGACTTCAGGATGTTGAAGTGGAAGGCAGGTGTCAGCATGCGACGGTGTCTGCTCCACTTGTCACCAGCACTCAGCAGGAGCCCATCCCCTAGCATGGAAAGCCACGGGGAGTGAGCAAGGGCTGCCCCTTTCCCTGGGCACCCGAGATTGTCCTCAACCCCTTTGACTCACAGTTACTCACCCAGCCAGGGCTTCATAAAGTTGTAGAAGACCATGTCCTTGGGTGCAACAGTAGCTGATGAGAATGAGGACCATCACGGACCATGGAGAAGGGGAGGAGAGGGACATTGAAGGAGAATGGTAAATGCTCCCAGCCAGGAGTCTGCATTCCCACTCCAAGCCCAGCATAGTAGGAATGTGGCCATGAGCATAGGAAGCCAGGAGGAGACGGTGAGGGACAGGGGACAGGACAGGCTGCAACACAGAGCAGAGCAAATGCAGAGCCATAGAAACAACCCTGTGTGCTAGACACCCCCAACATGACACAACCTGCCCCAGCGTGCCTTGACACAGCGCCTACACAGCCCAACATGTTCTAATCGCCCAAGCATACCCCAGCACTCTACCAACACCTTCACGGGACCCAGGACACCACCTATGCCTGCCAAGACTGGGCACCCAGAGTCTCAGCGACTCAGGAATCACTTCTATGACTCAAGCGAGGAAACATTAAAGGAGATCCA